TAATTAACACCAATGCCTGACTTAAAGGTTTTTGTTAGAATGTTACTTTTATGCTTCCTAAATTTTAGTATGGAAGAGACATATAATTAGATGATATTATGTATGTTTTTATTAAAATTATTATGTGTTATGATTTGAACATTCTATGAAAATAGAAAAATAAGCTTTCAAGTAAACAGTTTACTCATTTAAGTGCCTATGTTTAATTTTTCATAATTTCATATAATCTATTTTGATAGCTAACGGTGAAATATTGTTAAATTGTTATATATATATATATATATATATATATATATATATATATATATATATATATATATATATATATATATATATATATATATATATATATATATATATATATATATATATATATATATATATATATATATATATATATATATATATATATATATATATATATATATATATATATATATATATATATATATATATATATATATATATATATATATATGGCAATGAATAGCTTAAGAAGATAAGTGTTTAAATTCACTAATCTGGGATAAATGGAATTAACTTATTTAGTTTTCATTTATTAATAACAATCCAAACATCTGAAGTCTATGTTGTATATAGGATAAGTGAAATTTAAGTTCTTTTAAAACTATATTAATAGGTAAAATCTGAAAAAATATATTAATAGGTACAAGTAGTTTTCAAGGAATAGAAGAGTTGGAAAAGATTCAGTCCACCACCACATGGGTAAAATTTTGGAAGTATATTACCACTTTTCACCCTTTTCTGACTAAACTTATAATTCAAAGTCCAAACTCCCCTCCAGCTATATGAGTTCTAGTCCAAACTTATTTTTGAACATTGACATGAGTTCTAGTACCACACCCTGGTAACTAAATTTTTGTTATGTGTATATATATACTTGATTTTAAAGACAATTTTAATTTGAAATTTTTACAGCATTCAATTTACCGACCTGTTTTGGTGTTGGTAATATGCAAAAGAAAATATGTTGTATCTGTTAATGAGCTTTGAGTTACTGATTTGCTTGAAGGGTATTTCAGAAGTTTTATGTTTATTCATATTGGATTCTATATTTTTCTGTGTGTCAGCTATTGTTTATGTGATATATGGATGATTTGGTTTTCTTTTCTGGAATATGTATTTAGAAAATGTGCATGTGTAAACTAAATCTAGCTTCTTTAACTTTGTATTGTTTCTCTTTTAGTTGGATAAATGACATCTCTGCCATATTGTTCTGAGAGCTTATGGTAGTATACCATATACGATATGATAGATTTACTTCTAGTTTAGACATATACTACCACTCAATCCAAAATAAAAATTAGTTTTGTATGTATATAACTTTAGAGGTATATGTAGTTAGATGCTCTTATCTTGTACTATTTATTTGGTAACTGCATATAATTTAGTGTGGGAAGTTATGTTGCACAGTTAATTTTTGTAGTGGATGAAATTGGATTTTAAAATATAGTTATAGATAAGATTACTGATTTTTTAATTTATTTCTTCTGTCTAGATAGCTTCAAGTCATCGATAAAGTAAGTGATTGTATATGGATCGTTACCCTCCAGAACGTAGTTGGGTATATGATAGGCATTATCCTCATAGGGGGGTTTGAAACTAACCTTTGTAAACGGGGTTGATGAGTTCATTAAAAAGGCTAAAATGCAACTTAATGTTGAACGCGATGGTGGAATTAGATGTCCTTGTAACAAGTGCATGTGTGTGCCGGTATTGTCCGAAGGTGACGTTAGATTTCACTTGTATAAATATAGATTCCAACCAAATTATTGGTATTGGACAGATCACGGTGAAAAAGCCCCACGTATTGACTCGGCAAATGTACCAATTAGTAGTAGACATGTGGATAATGAAGACCATTTTGAATTAATGCAACATATGGTCGAGGATGCAATAGGGCCTGATTATGATTTTCGAAGTATGGGCAACAAAGGTGATAAGGATGTCGATAACCCAACAGTCACGTGTATCTACATGTAGCAGTCAAGTTTTTGCTGAGATTGTTGCACAAATGGCAACAATTGAAGAGAGAGCAAATGCTGCAGAGGAAGATGCTCGAGTTGTACGAGAGGAATGTCGCAAGGCAAATAAACGCACACAAGATTTGGAAAGACAATTGAGGGAATTAGCTGAAAGTGTTGCTTCTATCAAAGGTGACAAACGTCGTCGTCGTCATTCAAACTATGATGATGACTCCGACAGTGATGATGACTCTATTGGAAGCATTTAAGATCATATTATGCTTTACTTTTACTCATGAGAATACTTTGACAATCACATTATATTTTGATTGAACATGTTTTATGTTTTGGTTAAGCTTGTTTACATCAAACTTGTTGAATGGAATATTTTTTGAGATCTCATTGATATTAAGGTTTGAGTTTTTGTTTGAGATTTGTTTGTTGAATTGTTATATATAATTATGGTCATGATAAAAAAAGAGTTTTGTAGATTTATAATATAAAAAAATATTCATAAAAGAGTTTTTATTTATTAATAAGTTGTTATGAAAAAATATTTATAAGATGTTACGAAAAAATATTCATATTGTCTTCAAACAGGGAAAATATTAACAAAATAAGTCTATTGATCAAATATTGGTATTTTTGATTAAAAAAAATTATAATACTACAGATGGCTTAACCGTCAGTAAAGTTATACCAAAAATTGAGTAACTTATCGAAGGCTTAGCCCTCGGTAAATTTACTGATGGCTTAGCCCTCGGTAAATTTACAGACGGCTTAGCCCTCGGTAAATTTACTGACGGCTTAACCGTGGATAATATAAGACAAAAATTTTGATATTTGATCACCTATTACCCGCAAACTATTCACGGTTTAGCCGTGGATAATATCATGGGTTTATATAGTCGTCGGTAGACGTTACCAAGGAGCGAAATACCGAGGGCCCCATAGTCGTTGGTAAACCCTCGGTAATTTACTTTTCCCACGGCTTTTTATTGTTACCGAGGGTTTTTGGCCCTGGGTATTGACAAATTTTCTTGTAGTATTTTTCAAGGAGCAAGGGTTTCAGAAATGTGATGGGGTTTTAGAAATGTGAGATGGAATACGGTGTTTATGTTCAGCATACTTCTGAAGGCAATATGATTCTGGTGTGTTTGTATGTTGATGACATACTGCTGATAGGGAGTTCTGAACAAGAGATAGCTAAATTCAAGGTGTTGATGAATGAGTTTGAAATGACTGATCTCGAAAAAATGACATATTTTTTAGGGATGGAGTTTATATACTCTGACGAAGACTATCAAAACCGATCAATTACTTCGCTTAAAGGATGAAATTGGTGTTGTCAGTTTTGGGTAAATATAAATTAAGGGATGGTGTTAGAAATAATTTATATTTTACAAAACTTAGTGACTAAGCTTTGTTGGAGGGTAATTTAGTACTTTAGTATGTTATATATATAGCCCTAGTTTTCTATGTATAAATAGACTAATGGTAGATGTTGTTTTGTAATTCTTTCTTAACTTTGTAGCCGTCATTTGCAGAATATAAACATATTCTCTCATTCTAGTTTTTCTCTGTTAACCTTATGCACCAACACATTCGGAGTATACTTTAAGAAGGATTGAGTCATCTGAAAGTATCAAATTAAAAGTTCGGATATTTTTTTTAAATTATTAGATATAATAAATCTAGTTGTATTAATCAGAATGTAATAAATAGAGATGATGTGAAATGTCGCGATGATAAAAAAAAATTTGAAAAACTTAATAATGTTAAAAACCTTTAAAATGTGAAAATGACCGTCTTTTAAGTGTTCAATAAAATATAGCGTAGATTTAACACAAAAAAAATAGTTAAAATATATATAATTAAAAAGTTAATTACATTTCAAATATAAAATAATATTTTAATATGATTATCTACATAATTGTTGACTTTGATATAATTATTTAAGTTGCATTTTTTATTTATTTTCTATCTTAAAATTCGAAGGATATTTTTATAATCTTGAAAGACTTCCACCTTAATGATCCAACATAGGAGTACTATTAGTCTAGTCATAATAGGACCTTTACTAGTTTAAAATTGATTTATTTTAATTAAGCTAATATTAATAGTAGTAATCACTATTCATTATTATTATGTAAGGCACCACTAGTATTAGCATGTTGAGTCTACCGACAGAAATTAACGAATAGTGTTATTGTTTTTAATAAATTAGGTCTTATAAATAAATTAGAATACTCATTTAATTCCCACTTTTTTTAATTAAATTTACCCAATCAAAACATTATCTCAATCACCAATAGTTAGTTGGTCGACCCGTGATTGCGACTTAGTAAGAAGATCATAGTTCAATCTCTTATAATTGAGAGGAACTGATCACTAAATCAGATTAAACGATCACTAAATCAGATTAAACGATCTAGTGGACCAAATACCAGTGATTTAGAAAAAAATCATTATCTCAATCATAATCAAGAAAACAAAGAGAACATGTGAAAATTATTGACAAATGTTAGTATTCAAGAAAAATGACCTTAATTGGGTCCACTCTTGAAAAGCACATAAGTGGAAGCACTTAACTTTACAACTTTGAAATCATGTGCCACACAAACTAGTCTAATGTGTCACATTCTTCAAAAATATCAAAAAGCACCAATTGAGGCCACAATGAACCAATCAAGAGATAATAAACACAAGCAAGTGAAAATTTTCATTCAATAATAATCACTCAACTTTTTGAGGCTGAGAAAACTTGTAGTATATTATCAATCCAATGAATACATCATTACTTCATCAAGAATAAAAAATTTACACATGAAGAACACATTACATATATAACTTGCTCAACAAGCTTCAATCAATGCCATAGCACCAAGTTACAATCCTTTCTTTACTTGTGAGGAATTTCACTCTTAATATGTATAGGTCATTATAGGCTCACATAATGTTCAAAGTCTATGTGGCCTCTATTGTTTTGTAGAGGAAAAAATGAGCATCAATGGTTTATTTTGATGTAGAAGAGCCACTAAGGTTAGGGTCTGTTTGGTAGTAAACAATATCACCGGTGTCGCTGACAAAATGGTCTTTCTTCATGCTTTTTATTAACTCTCCAATTAGGTGAAATGGTAAAGGTGACGATTTCTTCGGCTCTCGGTAGTATTTTCCAAGAACTGGTTTCGCTGCCTCGGTCTACAATAGGAGGAAACATATATTCGAATTTAAATTCGTTCGATTCATGAGACCGATCATTCATTCATTCATTCATCAAGAATAGTGTAACGAGGTATTTGGATTCTCAGCAATCAGACACGCATTCATGCAATTTGGACTGTTGGATTAAGATCAGACGGCTCATGTTTGAATTTTAATATATCAAGTTCAGATAAAGTACAAAGTTGGAAAATAGGCCGTCTAATCTTTAACAATGATTGCATGAATGCGGAAAATCCAAATACTCCAACTGAGGTCAACAATATCGGAAGAATTTCGTGTAAAGAGATACTCACAGCTTCTATTAAGTGGTAGTGTGGGATTTGAGGAAATAAGTGATGAATGACATGAGTTCCAATGTCATGATGGATGTTATTTATCAATCCGTAATCGCGATCTAGAGTTGTAAGTCCGCCTCTAAGGTAGCTCCATTCCTGTCCACACAAAACGAAGGATAAAGCTACGAAACAATACTTGGTTTGGAAAACTATGAATTTCACGTAAACAAGAAAGAAACTTGCAAAGGAAAATAACAAAAGTCTAGAAAGATAGTTTGACGGGGAAAGAAAGGAGATCGATACCTGGCCACGATACCATGGTAATTTGTCTTCATGACCATGGTGATGCAAATAAGTCACCAAATCCAACCACATAACAAAAAGCTTCAAAACCAAGAAGTGGTAGAAAATTAGGATTCATTTTGATTCATGGTTAGAAAAACTTGATGGAATGGAATTTACCATATAAGGAATGCCATAAAGCTTGAGTAATTGAATTGGACCCATAACGAATCCTAATCCTACAAGCAAAGCAGCCATAGCTGTCCAACAAACTGTTGAAGTAATAACATCTTTTCTTTCATTCGGGACAAACAAGTCACTGTTTGGATCGAAGTGAGAACCACTTTTCCCCGGACTTCTACTCCACTGAATTCAAAAGACCACCGTCATATAAACATTAACAACAAATGTCAAAAACATATGTAGCACTGACACTTCAGATGGAAGGCGTGTTTCAAGTGTCCGATTCTGATACGACACTGATATATGTAATTTATAATTACAAACGATTACTTGTATTTTCAATTATTCTAATCATAGTCGTGTCAGGTGTCTGTGCTTCATAGATCAATTCATACACCATAACTAGTAGCAAAACATGTTCGAATTCTAGAAAAAAATAAAGCTTTAAAACTTACAAGGTAGAAAGGATATGCAAGCATTGGGAAAGGTATTGTAAATCTTAAAATTTTTGTTGCATTATCCAAGCTCTTGAAGATTTTCTCCGGCAACTGCAAGATTTAGAAATAAATGTCATGGATTAGAAACTCAGAATTTCGAAAGATGGTGTTGTCAATCTCATATAACATAAACTAGTGTTTTGATTTCATACATGTTTTACTAAATAGTGTATCACAGAACAATTGCGATTAGTTCAAACTCTGCTACATTATTATCCCTATAGCACAATTGTAGCTGCTAGAACAGTGATTATAAACTTACTGGGTGCCAAGATTCATCATTTTCAACGTGGCCGTGATTTTGATGATGTGTTCTATGACTAATTCTCCTGCATAATTCACAACAGAAAAAATCAGTTCCGGAGCTTAGACAAAAGCAAGTAATACAAGCAAAACACGATACAAATAGATGACTAGAAAATCAACTATTCCTACATAAACATACCATCCATGATATGGTACTAGGATTGAAGAATGCAGCAAATGCCCTGCAACACTATTCAGCTTTGGATCGTTTGAAAAGCTTCCATGACCACTAAAATATCCAAAACATCAACCACAGTTATTAATCATGTTGTGATTCCAAACATAAGGTATTAAATAACCGTCGCGCTACAATCGCGATTGAGGTCGTCATGGTGTGAATTAACCACGAATACTTTTCTATCATAAAAACACTGAATAACAAAAAAGGTTAAAATCAACCAATAGTAATTGAATCAAAAACAACATTAAAGGAATGAAATAGTACCAATCATGACCAAGAACAAAGAGAGCCCAAAACATTGTTCCTTGAGCAGCCCAATAAAGAGGCCAAACAAACAAACTATTAACATAAGCAGCAACAACCGCCAAACCTAAAACCACCACAACATCTCTCACAACATAACTCATAGACTTCCAAGGATCCTTAACCCAGCAATGTTTAGGTATAGCTGCTCTTATATCAGCCAATGTAAAAGGAGGTGGTGCACCAGGGTCAAATTGTGGTAACTCCTTCACAGCACCCTCTGCTTCTTCTTCATCAGTACTAACTCTAGAAGGAGCACTCACTTTCAATTCCCACTTTCTTGCCTTAAACCTAAGATCTAAAGACACCCTTTTGCTTGTTTTGTTTAAAAATCCAAACTTTGGAAGTTTTTGAGATGAAATTGCACTTGTTCTTGGTTGAGTGTACAGTACAGGAAGTGGCCTTAACCCACATTCTGATAAAAACAATGTGGTCATTGATGAAATTGTGACCTAAAGGAAGAAGCTTTTTGGTTATGAGGGGGTGAATTAGGATATGATAGATGCTAAATTCTTGATATGCTAGTGGTTTAAGAGGGTAGAATGGGAAATTGAAAAGGGGAAAATTGAAAATATGTGAACCAAAATGGAAGGATTGAATTTAATAGAAGTGACTAAAAAACAAAAAAAGATGCAAAATTTATAGGAGACAGAGGACTAGGTAAGGATATGTGTGTTTGAATGAGAGCCACTAGGTTTGTGTTGTGTGACCGTAGTTGTTCCTACCCTTAAGTTGTTGTTTATGAAATTTGGGGGAAAAAATCTAAACTTTAATATAAGGGTTAGGGAAAAGAAGGAGTGACTGAGATTGAATTGGAGGGAGAAGAAAAGGGTGTGTCGTAGTTCATGTTGTGGCCTTTGATATTGTATTAGGTATATATACAGAGGAGTGTAGTGTGTAGAATGGCGGTGTCAGAGCAATTGGGCCATGTTGTATTGGGTGTGGGAAAAATAATATCTAATTGTTAAATTTAAATTTAAAGTTATAATGTATTTTTCCTTTGTTTTTTGGTTAAGGGAAAATACTATATATCCATAGTATTATAACACTATATCATATTTTGTTACAATTTATATAAGGATACACGGTAAATATTATACGGATCGATGTTTTGGATCGGTCATATGTTTAATGGTGAAATCTAACCATACATGATATATGATTCAATTGGAATTATCTAATGTAGAGTCATTCTAAGTGAAATTCAATGTATATTTTTCTTATCTATATTTTGTTATAATTTAGTATTTTATAGCGTTATTTAATTAATAAACGTATTTTTATAGTTATGTAAATTTTATCAGAAGATACACGGTAAATATTATGTATGAGTTGGTGTTTTGGATCATTCAAATGTCCAATGAAGAAGCCTGATCATATATGTGTTAGCTCTTATTTTCAACGCCAGCAAAAATCAGAACTATATCAAGTCAGAATGTTGTAATGTTAAAACATAAGAAGGCTTCGACACAGCTTTGATGAAGCCTGAGTCGAAGAGAGGTTGGAAAAATTTCTAGAAAAATGCTAAGTGTTGGAAAAGCCTTCGACCAAGATTCTGCTAAAAGAAACGCGTAGCAGCTACCATTAAGGCCGGAAGATTTCTTAATATTTAAGTTTCAAATTGGTAGTGGGTGAACGTGGGAACAGTTGCAGTTGGGGAAAAAACGCCAAAAGTGTTGCATCCCAAAATTTGCCCAACATTTTTCTTTAGCTGGCTTTTGTTTCTTTTGTTTCTTTGCATTGTTATAGCATTTGCATTGCATATCATTGTTCATTTAGCAGGGGATCAAGAGGTGTGACTAGTAGGAGGAGGTTACCCAGAGTGTTGAGCCTAAGCAATGGGTTTTACTCATGCATGAATGGTCATCAAGTCACCAGGTAGTGGTCAAAGTCTTGTGAAAGGGTGATGAATGTATGTGGGTCAGCTCCTAACTTGGAGGTCAGTTGAAGATCATCAGAGGGTTGTGAATTCGTGATTATGGATATGGGGTTTTGAGAAATCTCATTGAAGGCTTTGAGAGCCATGTTGGAGCTTGTTCAATTTGTTGTGTCATGTGGAAGAGGTCACAATCAAAGATATTTTGTTAATCTGGCTAATCCTCAGTCAACTGTGAAATTGAAGGAGATTAAAACTCAATTTCAAGTCTCTATGGTCATGGGATATTGTGTTGAGATGTCTAATATATGATTCAATTGGAATTATCTAATGTATAGTCATTGTAAGTGAAATTCAATGTATATTTTTCTTATATATATTTTGTTACAATCTAGTATTTTATAGTGTTATTTAATTAATAAACGTATTTTTATAGTTATGTAAATTTTATCAGAAGGATACTGTCGCTACTGCGAAAATCGGCGCCGGCTGAACAGAAGAGTCGCCACCGTGTGTTATTTATCCCAAAGGAGGGAAAGGAAACGCTCGAGGTAAACCTACCGCAAAACGGGGAAAGGAATGGTCATCGCAACCAAAACCTGGATTCGGGAGTCGGTTACGCAAGGGGAAGGTATTAGCACCCCTCACGTCCGTCGTACTCGACGGGATCCACGCTTGTTTTCTAGTACGGATTGTTATTTCTATCTAAACTAAGGGTTAAGGGTTAAAAAGAAAAGAAAATGACTCGGCAAAGTATCGCACTTTATGCCTACGTATTCCCGTCTGGAACGAGAAATCAGAGTCAACGTAGTTCGCCTACCTACTGGAAAGGAGGGGAAGGTTGCTCGCTAGGATGTCGCATCCTATGCCTACGTACTTTCATACGGCATGAAAGATCAGAGCAAACGTAGTTCGGGCCACGCACGACACAAGTATGTTTTGATTGCTTTTATCTCCTTCTGAAAAAGGGTTTTTTCCGATTACTGGTCCAAGCGGACAAAAATGACGTTTTGACGAGTTCACATTCTTTTACGAAAGAAGTGTCTTTTATTGTGTTTGAAATCTTATTGTGTTTTTCTGTTTGTTTCGAGAAAGAAGAGACAGAACTCTAACCTATAGTTGAAAAGAGAATCAAATTAACCTAGTGTTATCATGCATGGGTTAAGACCTAATGTCTATCATGCTTCTCTCTTGCGCAGAGAGAAACAGAGATCCTAAGGGAATAGACGGAAACAGAAACAATAGCATAAAACAGTAAAATGCATGAATGCAGCAATACAAGCGAGGCAAGGGAGTCTCACTCAACCTCGAACCTAGAAAACAACAGGCAAAAGCGAACAAAATTCGCTTTCAACCTAGCAGATTAAAGGGCAAACAATACAGTCAGAGAAATTCAAACAATACATCAAAAATTATAAACAGCAAAAATAAACAGCCAACAGCAGTCTTCATCAACATCTGTCTTCAAGTCATCTTCAACCATCTACAGGCTTCAAGCAAGCATCAGTCTTCATCTTCACAACCTTCAAGCAGGGTCTCTATCTTCAATCCTTCAGGGCTTTTCTTCACGTCTCACTCTCCAAGATGAGAAACAGTTAAGAGGATGAACTGGAATGTTAAACAGTTAGTTGACCACCAAAGGTGGTAAACAGACTGTTAACAATATGTAGAAAATTTCTCTCAAGAGTTCTATCCCTTAGACACTGTCACCAAGCCTTCCAAAGGAAGGGGGTGAGTGTCCTAGAGAGACTCTGCATCATAGAGAGGGATGGAAGCAAACAAGACCTTCCATGTTTGTGAATCAAATTGCTATTCTAGAGCTCTACCTAACTCTTAGATCCTATGACCTTCAACAGCTGCCTGCAAGAGATACTCTTCATCAACTCTGGAAATTGATCTTCATTCCTTTAGTCTTCAATGGGCTTCATCAGCAAAGTCTTCAACTCAACCCAAACCCCAAGCAGGCCCAATACCCCATACAGTTAAATAATAACCCTAGAGAGGGCACACCACACAATCAAGCAAGTACAAGCAATATACTAATAGTAATAGTAGAATAGGGGAAACCTAGTATTTTCTAAGGGATCTATTATCTACCCATAATACCCCTATAGTCCCCATGCCCTAAAATTCAAACTACAACTCCTCAAAGAAATGATTTATTACACCTATGTTATATCTAAACCCTGATTTTGATTCTCCTAATCACACCTAAACAAACCATCTAAAACTAAGTCCTAAAATCATGAATTAAATCTCATATGAAAATTAAAGTCCTAAGTGAAGTACTCTAAAAAGAATGGGTCCAAAACATACAAGGGTCTAGCTAAACTAAAATCAACAATATCAAGTATTAAACTAAACATTATTTAAAACCTATTTAAAAGAAAAATATACTAAAAATGCAAAAATAAAATAAAATGCTAATTTTATTATATGACAATTTTCTTAACAGGAATAAGAAAAAGATGCAAAAACAACCATTTAAAAATATGACATTTCCAATTTGTTATGATTTTTCAAAGAATTAACAAAAATTGAGTGAAATTAAAATGAATTAAATTGGTCATGGGTGCAATCAGCAATTATAAGCATTGAAAAATGGACAATGGGCCCAGACTGGGGGTGCGCATAGCAAGGCGCGTCTGGGCCCAGCTAATCAGAAAAAAACACTAAGGAAAAAAAAGCAAAACGGTGCAAAAAGTAAATAATTCAGTTCAATCCATGTTGGGCCTGGAAACTAGGGGTGCGGTTAGCAATGGTAACTTGAGCCCAGTCTGAGGCTTAAGTGAAACGACGCGTTTCACATCCAGTCTTCCCTCCAAATTCAACTTCAAATCCTGGCCACGCGATTTGAGCTTCAGTCAACAAGAAAGACTCCATCCAACGGTCATCATGCTTCTTCTCCAATGAGAAGCTAGGGTTTCAGCCATGATTGCCATAAACAAGCTAGCACGAACCAGAATTCAGCACTCTCATACAACCTCATCTCTCCATGAAATTCAGATCTATAAAAAGCAAAGATGCTCTAGATCTTCTCCTCTACACAGCCATGGTTTCAGTTTTCTTTAAAACTCACCCCAGCACCAAACCCGATAGGTAGAAAACCTTGGCTCCACCATTTTACACTGAGATCAAACTCGATGATTCTTTCTAACTCTTACACTAATGCGTTCTACGTGCAATGCTGATCATTTTCATCTATCTAGCTAAGATTATCATGCCCTAACCTAGGTGTTCTAAGGCTCAACAGTTTTGGTGCTTCAATGGTGAACTCCATGAAATGTTCTCAAATTCATCAGAAATGATCCTCTACCTATGCCTAACAATTCTAACCTAAAGATACTTCATCATGATAACTAATTCTAACCAATTCGAAGAAAACACTAACCTGGTTTAAAGTTGAAAACAGATGGAGGAAATCACCACTTCAAGCTCAGCAATGCTCCAATGGCAATCAATTAACCAAGATCTTGATTCTGTATGCAGTAGTTCTTGCTCAAACCCCTTGGATTCTTGTAACCACTTCCTTTTGCAATTTGGATGATGCACTTGGATAGC